AAATGCTAAAGTCTCGTCCTTTGGCTAAAATATAGCAAACGGCAACTGAATAATGGTCACAAAAAACATTTTTTTTTTCAAAATAAAAGAATGAGATGTATGATAATCTAATAAATCCCATACGTGGTCCACGATGCCGAGTTGATGAGCTGTCTGCCGCACAGCAGGCTGGTCAGTCAGTGCTCCGCATTGGCGACAGGTGAAATCATCCGTAATCTTTGGCTCCATTCTTGAGGTGTCGCTGAGCTCACCTGAAGGAATGAAACTATTAAGCTCACCAAAGTACTGAAATAAAGTTGGAAAACTTCAGTCTGGTACTGGAGTGTTTCAAAACTAACGCTTTGAAGGTTCAGGAGTTTGTGGTGGAGTATCAAATTCATAATTCGTAATACGTTCCATGCCGAGGAGCGCCATAAGTTGCCGCAAACTGGCTTCTGGATCAAGGCTTCCTTCTGGACCTTCGATTACAATACTCACTTCGACTTTCTTTGGGTGGTCACGCTTCTGAAAAAAAAAATTCAAAACACATACATTTTCATCAAAAATTTTTGGTACGATCAACCTACATTAGAGATATATGGATGTTGAGCCGCTCTCCCCACCCAGGTGACGGATGATATAAGAAAAATTTAGATTTCATCATTATTATAATTCTGCGCTGACCTGCTATACATTACTATCCACCTAACGATGTCGGCTTGCTGTTTGATGCCATCTTTTCAAAAGGCATATTCTAAAATATGCCATTTGAAAAGATGGCTTAAGGCATTTTCGTCTTTCAAACTTGACTTCGTTTTGAAAGAACTTCGAATATGGCGGTGCTGTGAACAGAAATTAGCACACGGGAAACTGTATTTATAGTTCTGCATCAAATTCCTATGTAGTACGTCAAGCAGTGAATGCTCATATTATTTGCAACGAGGCCAAAATAGCAATTACAGCTCAGCGAGCAGCACTGGTGCAAATACCGTTGCATGCAAGGAAGAACAAAAAAAAAAATCACTCTTCTCAAAGCCACCTTTCAGAGGCTACAGTTCTTATTTTCGTCAAAAATGAACAAGCAGAGAAAGTAACTGCTGGAAAAACATTTCAGTTATTATGTTGTAATTAATATTAGACCACTAGTAATGCAAACCTTTAGGAATGCATATCGTGGGGGCGCCTGTGGTGCTACTGATTCTGGTAATCTTGAAACCTGCCGCAACGGAGGAGACCGTGAGCGGCGAAGTACCGACAGTGCCCTCATCTTGCTTACTGGCTTTTCCTTCTCGTGTTCTTCTCTCACAAAATGATTTGGGGTTATACACTTCGTCCTGAAAATGCCAAAAATTTTACCCATCATGAGGACAGGAAACAGACAGCACAAACAAAGGGCATCAAGTGCTGATAACAATAAGGCGAGAACCTATAAAGAACAGGTAGCTTCACATCTCCCGAGAAATCGGACATTGCGTGATACAACGAATCCTCATCAATGGGACATTCAAACAATCGTGTGTAATAATCATCCATAAAAACTAGGTGCAGTTCACCGATCGCACTTCCTTCAACTGATGGCTTATCTAAAGTATGGCTGTGATAAATAATCACTTATAGACTGTGATGATTACATCACCAATATATGGTTTGCGCTGTTCAATTTAAAAGTTTTGCAAAAATCCAAAAATTTAAAAAAAACTGTCCTGCAAAAGTTTAAATAAACTAAAAAAAACACAAGCGGAATTACAGATAGTTTCATTTGACGCTGTAAATTGCCGGAATTCAATTATCGCAGCTGGAATCTTTTTTCTAGGAGAAGGGGAGGGGAGGAATTTACAGATATTTATTCAAAATTTAAACAAACCGGTTCGGTTTGGCAAATCAGTAACACCGAATATGGCATATGATGAGCGATCAATGCGAGAAATTGGTTCGCTGGCAGCGCGTGGAAGAGGTGGACAAAGCCGAAGCTGCGTAGAAATACGTTCCAGCAACAACTCGTACTCATTGCTTGGGCCAACAGTAATTTTCTTCTGCTGCGTGCGTTTCTTCTTCGGCTTTGGAGGATCTAAGCAATTTTCAAGAAACCATCAGCACTATACGCATATAGAAGCACAAAAATCCTTGATAAAAAAAATCACGACTTAACAATTTGTTAAATTTGTAAAACCAGTTAGCCGAGCATAAGCAGCAAAGTATCCTAACATTAACATATTCGAGAAATTCGCTCTTTTAAGAACGTGTCTGATGCTCGTGTTCATGCATAATTCAAGCAATTGCTAAAATTCAGGATGGATTGCTACAAGCTTTGTCGTTCACGCCTTTGATGCTCGAGAAAAGCGACAAAGAGATGGCTTCCACAGTTCGAGAACTGAAGCGCAGCTGCATGGAGGAGGCAAGGGTACTTCATCCTAGCGGTGTACCAACAACGAATTTGAAGAGTGTGAGCAAAAACTCATTTTTCGGCGTAAAAATTGACTGACGCACTTATTAAAATCGGTAAAATCCCGGCTAATGTAAAGTTTAATCAGTTCTAAATCGACCGGATGTGAACAGAACCAAGAATCGTTAGCATTCACCGTCAGTCGGCTTCCGATGGAGCGCTGCATGTAGGAAGCTGATAGTGTAACAGCAGACTGATTTTCTTAAAATCGGCACAGCCGTTTTTTAATAAGCCAAGATGACATTCAAAATTTTCGGACTTTTTACTTCATTTCAGTGAAATGAGTAAATGTAAGAATTAACTGTTAAATTCAAGTGAAGAAAGCGGAGCTCTCTGCGATGCGAACATTTTCCCCGGTTGTGACTCCAAAAGTCTCTTCAGCATCCCACTTTTTCGAGCTGCTTCAGCACCTGCAACGTTTACGAAATAATAGCGGCATCAGTAATATGTTTTTCCAATGAACTCTAGGCTGGAACGAACCCAATGCGATCACACGTTCCGCCTAAATTTGAAGCAACCAACTATAAGAATGATCAATCTCGTTTTACACTTTCCTTATGCGCTCATTAGCGTAAATCACGGTAAATTTTGCATGAAGGAAAGTAAACAATTTCCACCGCAAGGTTATTCTTTGAAAATGAACTACCTGCCTAGTAATTTTCCTGCCAAAACTTCTGAGTGCCTGTACGTGAGAACCACACATATTTGGGAGCTGAATTTGAAATCTTAAAGTTGCACGTAGGCAGGGAACATTCCTTTAAAATTTCAGCTTTCCAGGTTCCCGAGCGAGCAATTTCCCTGCCAAAACCTTCAAGTGCCTGTACTAAATTCGAAATATATTGTACGTGGGTGGGGAACATTCCCTTAAAATTTCAGCCCCAGCATTTATGGATTCCGAATTAGCAATTTCCGCACCAAAAATTTCCACATGCCCGCATGTGAGTACCATGCACAGCAAAGATTGAATTTGGAACTTTTAAGTCACAATTTGATGCGGAAAAATCCCTTAAAATTTCAGCCATCCAAGTTCTCCAGTTCCCGAGTCAGCTCATGCGCACGCACGTAAGAAACACGCATGCCTAGATGCTGAATTTGAAATTTTTAAGTTGTATTTGGACAAGGAACATTCCCTCACAATTTCAGTTCTCCAGCTTTCCTGGTGTCTGAGTTAGAAATTTTCCCGCCAAAATTTTTTATGGGCGCGTGCGTGAGAACCATGCATATCTGAGGACTGAGTATGATATCCTTAAATTCTACATGGACGGTGAATATCTCCCCAAAATTTCAGCCCTCCAGCTTTTCTGCTTTCCAAGTTAGCCGTTTTCCACCAGGACTCTCATGTGCTCGTACGCCGGACCTAAACGTACGTGAAAGTTGGTACCACAGCTCAAAGGCAGTATTTGGCCTAGGAATCCTCTCGCTAAATTTTAGTGTCGGAGCTTGTTTGGTTGCCAAGATGAAATGCCCGGAGAGATGCACACGCGGACACACAAACATACATACACACACGCACACCAAGGGTCATCGCAATATGTGCTTTTGCATTTGGATATATGCAAAAACACACAAAAACGAATTATATGCCATGTAAATTTCGTAATTCTGGCTATGACGGCTGAAAGTTAAACAGCGGTTCATTTGTCAATGGTACTCGCGAAGCGAAAGATAGTTATTGGTAAACAGCGATGAGCTGGCGTGCATGTGTAGTGGATAAAGCGAATTGCAAACGCTAAATCGGAAATTAGGAAATTTGACAAAATCCTACTCATCATGTAATAACTGAAACCGACAGCCTGGAGTAGCCTTTGATTTTTTTCTAATGAATTCGGTGTAAAAACGAACCATCCACCATGATAACAGCTTGTGTTATCAAGTGATCAACA